TCTTCAGGTTAAAGTTAAACCAGTACTCTAAACCCAAAGTGTTCCTTCCGTTTCACTCACCGTATCATTGGGAAAGGTGAAGGTAATGAGAGAAGATACTTTAAAAGCTTTTGTCAGAATGGCGGGGGGGTCTAAGGCGCCAGACTCAAGATAGACATCTTTCCAAAAATAATGGGTATTCTGGTCTCTGAAGAGAGGCGTGGGTTCAAATCCCACTTCTGACAGATGCTTTTTAATGACTGTAGCAGCATTTGACCAACTGCATGGTATTAACATAGTTCTTCAGGTTAAAGTTAAACCAGTACTCTAAACCCAAAGTGTTCATTCTGTTTCACTCACCGTATTATTGGGAAAGGTGGAGGTAATGAGAGATAGTACTTTAAATGCCTTTGTCAGAATGGCCGAGTGGTCTAAGGCGCCAGACTCAAGATAGACATCTTTCCAAAAATAATGGGTATTCTGGTCTCTGAAGAGAGGCGTGGGTTCAAATCCCACTTCTGACAGTTGCTTTTTAATGACTGCAGCAGCATTTGCCCAATTGCTTGGTATTAACCTAGTCCATCAGGTTAAAGTTAAACCAGTACTCTAAACCCCAAGTATTTGTTCCCTTTCACTCACCGTATTATTGGGAAAGGTGGAGGTAATGAGAGATAGTACTTTAAATGCCTTTGTCAGAATGGCCGAGTGGTCTAAGGCGCCAGACTCAAGATAGACATCTTTCCAAAAATAATGGGTATTCTGGTCTCTGAAGAGAGGCGTGGGTTCAAATCCCACTTCTGACAGTTGCTTTTTAATGACTGCAGCAGCATTTGCCCAATTGCTTGGTATTAACCTAGTCCATCAGGTTAAAGTTAAACCAGTACTCTAAACCCCAAGTATTTGTTCCCTTTCACTCACCGTATCATTGGGAAAGGTGGAGGTAATGAGAGATAGTGCTTTAAATGTCTTTGTCAGAATGGCCGAGCGGTCTAAGGCGCCAGACTCAAGATAGACTTCTTCCTCAAAATAATGGGTATTCTGGTCTCTGAAGAGAGGTGTGGGTTCAAGTCCCATTTCTGACAGATGCTTTTTAATGACTGCAGCAGCATTTGACCAACTGCTTGGTATTAACCTAGTCCATCAGGTTAAAGTTAAACCAGTACTCTAATCCCCAAGTATTTGTTCCCTTTCACTCACCGTATTATTGGGAAAGGTGGAGGTAATGAGAGATAGTGCTTTAAATGCCTTTGTCAGAATGGCCGAGCGGTCTAAGGCGCCAGACTCAAGATAGACATCTTTCTCAAAATAATGGGTATTCTGGTCTCTGAAGAGAGGCGTGGGTTCAAATCCCACTTCTGACAGTTGCTTTTTAATGACTGCAGCAGCATTTGCCCAATTGCTTGGTATTAACCTAGTCCATCAGGTTAAAGTTAAACCAGTACTCTAAACCCCAAGTATTTGTTCCCTTTCACTCACCGTATCATTGGGAAAGGTGGAGGTAATGAGAGATAGTGCTTTAAATGCCTTTGTCAGAATGGCCGAGCGGTCTAAGGCGCCAGACTCAAGATAGACATCTTTCTCAAGATAATGGGTATTCTGGTCTCTGAAGAGAGGCGTGGGTTCAAATCCCACTTCTGACAGATTCTTTTCAATAACTGCATTTGACCAACTGCATGGTATTAACATAGTTCTTCAGGTTAAAGTTAAACCAGTACTCTAAACCCAAAGTGTTCATTCTGTTTCACTCACCGTATTATTGGGAAAGGTGGAGGTAATGAGAGATAGTGCTTTAAATGCCTTTGTCAGAATGGCCGAGCGGTCTAAGGCGCCAGACTCAAGATAGACATCTTTCTCAAGATAATGGGTATTCTGGTCTCTGAAGAGAGGCGTGGGTTCAAATCCCACTTCTGACAGATTCTTTTCAATAACTGCATTTGACCAACTGCATGGTAT